AAATATGGTCGAAAAAAGAAAATTATTTTTATATTTTCATTTTTTTTCAAAAATTGCACCTCGTTGGGGCCAAATTGGTCAATCCTACTTGGCTCTTGGAAGGGCCAAATTGAGAAAAAGTAGAATTCATAGGGGCCAATTCAGATTTTGGAGGGGTCGAAATGGTACCTGTCCCGCCCGTTTTGGCTCAAATAGTCCAAAACGAACCTTGATGGGCCAAACTGGCCCTCGAGAAATTGGGGCCAATTTGGCTTTTGGGGTCAATTTGGCTCTTTTCATTTTACAGTGTACGCACGTGCGGTGTTCCGTTCGCGTGCGCTGTCTTTTGCAATGGACTAAGAGTACGCGTGCAGCTTAGTTGCACATAGGCAATATTCATTAACAAACCTGAACGACTGGCACAATATGATCGATCTCAAAGGGCATTTCTAAGCTACTGACTAGCTACAGCCAGGGACTTATGTTTCTTTTCTAGATTCTTACAGTGAGTGTCTCTCTAAATTTCTTAGTTGTGTGTAAAGAAAGAACATGTGAACATGTAATGTTAGACTAACTCGGCATTCACGGTCAACTTTATCTGTTTTTAAAGCTAACACATATGGGGAGCTATTTGTGCCAAAAATATCACTCGCTAGTGGTAAAAATCAATCGTTACTGCCAAAATTTCAATCGCTTGTGATAAATCTCGATCGGTACTGCTAAAACATTAATCGCTATTTTGGCACTAACGATTGAGTTTTGTCGCTGCGATTAATATTTTGGCACAAATGGCTCCCCATAAACACATCCTCGTCTACCTCGTTTTGCGATCGACTATGTTTTCCTTCGATTGTTTTCCCAGATCACGTATCTGTTTGCGTTTTGGTTTTCTTATCGAGAGCCATTTTTATCAACATCAGATGCCAAGAATCATCAAAACTGATAGAGCTGTCTTTTTAAGCAAGGTGCCAATTTTACAAAGAATATAAAGGACGGAAACATAACGTTCTTTAACATGTCTACAGGAGAGGAAAAGTTTGCTTTTTATGTATTCATGTCTACAAGAGACATGAATAATTCAATCATTTCTTCATAATCCAAATGAATCTGACAACTGTTTGCATCGTTTAAAATCGAAGAGAAAAAAATATGGTATATTTTCTTTTTTTTCTCCCCACTGACTTTTAAAGAGTACCGCCCCCACATGACGGCTACATCAGAGGGTTAAGGTGGCGATACAGTAAAATTACGTGATCGCAAACAAGATTTTGAGTTGGTTCCCACAGTTATGTGAATGTGGGGGAGATTATACTTGACTATAAATACATGTGAACTGCGGATAAAGAAATGAATATGGAAGCGGTCTTTGTAGTAATGAACACTACTTAAGCAATGGTGAAAAGAAGGCCTGAAAAAGGAAAATAACAAAAAAATTCAGGCATGTACGGAATTTAAACCTTCGCGATACCAATGAATCGCTCTTCCAACTAAGTTCACAAGCCACCGGCAGCTGATCATTCTGTTGGTTCCAAATAAACCGGTGAAATGATAAATAAATGGCTGTAAATATATAATGTAAACTCATACTGCTGGTACGAACTCAAATCAAGTCTAACCGGCTGGAAGTTTTTTCAGCTGAAATTTTACCCAAGAGGGCAGTGTTTTCTGCCTTCTGGGTTAACAAAAACACATGGATGAAGACGGTGCTAAAGAAGGTCCCCGAGAATCTTTCACCTTAGAAAATTGGTCAGTGGTCGAGGCGGGAGGTCATGCTTCAATTCATTTGAACACAAGTAATAAGGTTCGTTGGCAAGGCCGGCAACCGAAGTGGCTTTTCACCTATTGGTGTTCATGATGTCGAAACTTGCGCATCTCGTATAGCTTTTCGCCGTCTAAAAAAAGATTCAAGTATTAAACTTGAAACCGTTTTGAGATTTTTACTTCAGAACGCCTAGCCGCTTTATGGGCTATTTCGTCGCCAAGCCTGGCTGCGAAAGGAATGGGAAAGAGAAAATTTCACCATTTTCATCGAGAACCCAAACGTCCTTGAGCCCCGCAGCCTTCCTTATACTCTGCGGCATTGCTCTTGAAAACTGAAGCCAACTTCCCGCGAAGGAAATACAAGACTTATTTAATCGCGCCTTAGTCTCGCGCTCGTTCTTGTGTCCAATAGGCTGTTCATTGGTGTGAATTTAGTTTAAGTTCTTACTAGCTCTTAGAGGAGTACTTCAATGAAAAGCTCCCTAAGTGAAATTTATGAGGATGGAAAAGGGTTTATACCAGACGCGTGATTGAGCCGGGCCAAAACTATAATGTTATGCGCGAATTTTACAGAAGGGCGAACGTGATTCATGAATTCATAAACTGACTTCTCGAGTTCCCTGAAACTCCGTTTTCCTTTTAAATTCGTGGCGTGCGAAAGTGTTTAAAGTACGAGTCACGCGTGAATTTTTCTAAAAAATCCGTACGTGAAACGGAATCGGGTCCTTGACTTTACAACCCTCTTTTAATAAAAGTAGTTGCAGTGTTTTAACTGATTCAAGTTTGATCATCTGTTGCAGTATGAGAAACTAAGTTTAAATTACCAGGAAAGGTGTTCAGCAAATGTTCGATCGAAATCCAAAGTGCAAAGTGTCATTATTTGGGGATGTTCTCATGTCGAATTTGTCGTCAAAACTGCCATTTTTATGTTGTTTATAAAGCGACATCGGAAATGATGAATCTAAAAAATAAAATTTAACAAATTGTAACAAAAAAGTCTTTCGTTACCTGAAAAACACCTACTTGAAGCATTCAATGCGAAGAGTTGGCCCAAATATCTTCACCAGAGCCACGTAAATTGGATAAACGACTGAGAAAACGAAACTTAGACAGCCATAGCGACACAATGACTCAGTAGGACGTGTCTCTTTTTAGTGTGACTGTGCATGGCTAGCTTTAAAGCCCACGATATATAATGCCTCCAACGGCCGTGACAAATTCTTTAGAAGTAGGTTAGAGCACCTTAGCAGCAGTAACAAAAGCAAAATTATTTGAGAGAAATGTGCTAAATTAAAAAACTGGCTAACCATCGGAACAATAGCGGCCAGCCAGCTGGCGAGAATGGTTTTTAATCGTCTGCTGTCACTCTGATATCAAAGTAATTAAGACATTTCAACACCGACGCAACTCTTCTCTTTTACCATAAAACCTGTTATGATCTATAATTTGAATCAGTTTGTAATCCTTGATTCAATTTGCACCGGTAAATTTAATCGAAACGATGTGATCCTCATCGTAGTACATACATGTATTCATCAAAGACATATTTTGTTTTAACTCACTTGGAAGATAAGTTTGAAAAGTGAGCAAAAGAGATGTCTCGAAAAATAAAAATTTTTATAAAACATACCTTTCGGCTGACTGACGATTTGGAGGCGGATTTTGCATTAGTGTATATCAGAACTAGAATTTTGCGCCTCTCTTAGTCGGCTACCAAATGTAAACAACGGTCGAATTTTAATCAATTATTGCTTAGATCTTCCTTAGAAAGAAATTTAAAAGCTAATGGTTTGTCAACATAAAAAAAAAAAAAAAAAAAAAACGGCTGAGTAATTTGTCAAAAAAAAAAAACAGTAATAGTTGAGCCGGGTTGACAGCGTTTTAAGGGAAGAAGTGCCGAATAACTGAAGATACTAATCAGAATGATTTAATTAATTTTAAAACTCTCCCTTCTGTTAGTTGTGAAAGCTTTGTCAATTTAAAAGAATTTCTACGGCAAATGTCGTTCTGAACTCCAAAGAATCACATTTTTCAGTAGATCATAGCAGTAAAGGCGATTAATATAAATCCAATTCGCAAATTGAAAAATTGAATTGATTCTTCGTGGGGGGACAGCAGGTAGATGTATTGGTTGAGGGGTAAAAACAGACCCCCTGTGTAATTTTACTAAACCCTGTGAACCCTATCCAGCTCAGAGCCTCAATGGCCGTGTTCGTTTTTCCACTGGAATTATTTTTCCCAGCCTTATTCTATTAAATATGATTTTCTGGGGGTTAAGTGTTGGCAATCACTGTATAATAAAACCTGAAATCAGCCCATGATACGTTTTCAGAATCTAACGCCTAAGCGTAATTCTCATAAACCGGAACAATACTAAAATATTAGTTGAAGACACATTTAGAAACACTCACTAATAGTAAGCCTTAAATACAGCAATTTAACAGAATCATAAAACCTTTTTGTACTGCCATTGCGTTTCGTGCAAATTTGATTGGTTAAGTGTAATGCGGTTCATCTGCTGTTACCATATTGAAAGAAGCTTTTATTATGTAATGTCCCGTGAAGGTAAACTAAAAAAATAAATAACGCTCAGCCCGGTTAAAATCAATAAACAAAAAGGAAAAAAGTTTTCGGCGCAAAACGATTTTGAAGACGAACCCCTCAGGAATGAAATTGTGCATAATTTTTGCCTGTGGTCAGATTTGATACCTGATTAATTGGCTCAAAGTCGCACTTCACTCGATTTTCCCACTAAGTCATGCAAAAACGGGAACATTTTAGGCCGGATAGCGCATTTCATAACCTTTCCATTTATACATAGTTTATGGTGGTTATGCTTTAAATAGCGCGTAAACATTTTCTTTCCTTCGCGAAGGACACCTGCGAAGGTCTACCTTATCCTTATATGCTCAATTACGAATCAAAATTTCTAACATTCGATAACTCCGAACACCACGACTACAATTTGTCACTGAGAGGAAAGTGGTTTATATGTTGTGTCAATAACTTCGGCTGAAGTCCTGTTAGTTACAACATGGAATCCCAACAGTTTGGCATTGAACTTCTTTGGCAACGTCTCCTGTCTGGTCTTTCCTTTTTTTTTTTTTTTTCTTTTAAGATGTTTAATAGCGTAAGTATATTTTGTTGTACTCTCCAAAATCTACGGAGAGACGAAAAGGCTCCACAAAACAAAGGACTTGAAAGACATTAGCACAAGGATCAAATTTCATGTAATTCAAATGAAGGTATGATTGAAACAAAAGGTGTATACTACCTGAATGTTCAAACATAAATGATCTAACTAGTTTTTGTCGCTATACCGACTGATGCAGCGCGAAATGTAGCTTTTAGGAATTTTGACTGTAAAATTGCAAAGTAACCATTACAATTGGAAAAATAGTATCCACAGCAATTTATCACTATATTACGAAAACAAGAACTTATCACCAAGAAAGCATTTCGTAAGCGTAAAAAAGACCTTGCTTTGTAAAGACCAACATCCATTGGTTTGCTGCAGAAAGACCAAAACTTTCTACGCAGTAAAAGTCTTTACATGAGATAAAAACAAAACACAACCAAACCGCTTGCGACAATTATAATACGGTGTAACTGGTTGTGCATCATTCTGGTTAGTTTTGAGACGTCACTGTCTGCTGCCGCATTTGTGCCAAAAGCTTCTCTTGTCTAATGAGTAGTTCCTTGATGCGTGCTTCCCGATCTAACGCGGAAGAGAAACAGGGCTCCTCAGCGTTTAAAAGAGAAGCAATTGGCCGACCGGTGAAAACGCAAATCTTTTCAGTTGGTTTTTCACGATAGAGGTCGTTGAAATCTTGAGCAGCATTGGGTGCATTCCCAGTACTTTGCATTGGTTTGCCAGAGCTACACGTTTCTTTACTCGCTCTGTCTGCTCCGACCCCTAAGTTCGTCGGTGAGGAAACTGACCATACACCTGAGATCAAAAGTAAAAACAAATTGTTCGATATTTAGGCACAACGTGTGAGTGACGAATGGATGAATGTCACCCGGAATCTAATAATCATTGGTTTTACTTCATCACGTTCTGTGACTGATCAAACAGAAGCTACAAAAAAAGAAACACTTGCGACACCGTCTCAGTTGCAAACTGGAAATAGCTGCAACATCGACACTAAGTCACTAGCGTTTCCCCGCGCTTGAAGCTTTTTGTATGTGTTTCCCTTTTCAATATAGTTCTCATTTCTCCTTTATGTTCTCCGCACACATTTGATCGGCAACTTCACTGGGTCAGGCATAAGTGTAACACCACTCCATTCAAATACACTCCATGCACGATTAATTTTCATAGTCTTAATTTCAGTTTCCCCGCTTTTAAATATTTCTGTTGTTTTCGACAGACACTACTGCAAATGACTCGCCGGACTCACAGAAATAGTCTTGAAACAGGGCTAGTGTTTGAAAGGATACTTCCACATAAGTTCAAACGCTACGCTCGAAATATTAAATCACCATACTGAGAGCCCTTGATCCCATGCAACACTATCTATACACACTAACAATTATACCACACACGTTCTCTGCCTTTTATCATTACCTCCGGTCCTCTTGAAGAGTATTTTTGTCCCTCTATGTGACACTCGATGAGACCCCATGCTTTCAGGAAGAACACACGCTTCAGATAGGTCTCTCTTCTCGAGAGAAACTTTAGATATACTCTGGACTTCCTTTTCAGGAGGAAGTTCTGTATTGCATTGAACTGCTACTACACTCTTCTTTTCCTTTTCAGTAGAAACTACTGGTGACCTCTGTTCTTCCCTTTCAGCGCAACTACCTTCACAACCCTTCACTTCCTCTTCAAAGGAAGCCACAATTGAACTTTGTTCATCCTTTACGGCAGCAACCGCTGTTGCATTCTGCTGTCCTTTCCCAAAAGAAACTACTGGTTTGCATAGGTCACGTCTAGAAGAAAGTATTGAAGTACACCCATCCTTGTGAACGGGAGAGGCCACTGATGTGCACCGCTGAGGGGACAGCTCTGGAGTTATTTCATCAGCACTTAGCGTTTCTTCACTGCAATTGCTAAGGAGGTCAAAATCTAAATTTCCTCTGCCTGGATTGAGCTTCCTTGGAAATGACTTCCGTGGCCGTTTGCGTGGTATTAGGCAGTCAGTTTGACGTTTCTCTGCATCACATCCAAGCGGATTTATTTCTAATAACTTGACATTAACAAAGGAGGATTTTGGATTCTTTTTGTCTGCCTCTGAACGATCAGCAATTCCATTATCTTTGCCGACGGGAAAATCATGAGTTTTCGTGGAAGAGGTACATCTATCAGGTGTATTTTCAGTTTTGACGCTTTCATCTACTTTTCGTTGACGACAGTCATTGCCAGGTGATGCTTTCGAATCCTTGTCTGTAAAAAGCTTTGAATTCTTGTCAGTATAAAACTCATAAGAGTATTTCTGAGTATCGGCCAACACACCAACATTACGCCATTCAAGGGTCTCTAACTTGTCATTATTCTGCTTCCCGAGGTCAGAAGCTGTAAAAGAATTTGCGCTTAAATTAACCGAAGAGGACCATGTTTCAGATGGTGGGATCAATTCTGCAACAGCTGCTGAGCACTTGAAATTGTCTTCGTTCTTGTTAAGCAACAAGTGACGTATTAGTGACTTGCCTGCTTGATTATCGCCCGTGGCAATCTTGTCACAGCTTAACCTGTATTTCGTATCGGAGTTACCGTGGTCGTTTACCAACGTCCCATTATATGGTGATCTCTTGTCATAAAATCCCCTTTCGGCCGAAGTTGAGGATATCGAATTGTAAGCTCGTGAATTACCTTGAATGAAATGCTCCAAACCAAACTCCGTCAACTGTAAAATAATAATATAAATGCGTCTACAGAGGAATCAATTTTTTAAGATCCTAAGTCCAGAGTATCACTTAAGATTGTAGCAAGGCTGGTACATTACGGCAATAAACAGACTCACCGAAACTCCTTTCACGTTTGTAACCGACTCCAAATGTTCTTTCAGATCAATATATGATCTCTGGCTGGTTAATTCCCCAAGTCGTTCTGAGCTGCTTCTGATTCCAATTAAAATCGAGCGCCAGTTCTTGGTCATCGACTCCACCGTGGAACATTGTGGCTTTTCTGCATGGTTGACCACTGAATTCGTTCTTTCATGTGCTGAAAAGTGCACAGCAAGAAGTTTTGGCATGCTATCATGGTCATATGCCACACCTCCATACATATTCACAAGATCCTTATCATCAACGCGCTTATCACAACACTCACTGTGAGTAGCTAATTCCATATCCTCGGAGCCTCCACTCCTACAAGAAACAAATCCCATTACGTCACTCTCATATGGATCACTACCCTTAACATGTCATTATAGAAGTTAAGGTTGCTGTCAACAAAATATTACATCGATTTTGAAATCGCAAAATTCAGTCGCTCAATACAAGTTTTTATAGTCTGAGTTGACAAATATTTTATTGCTGCTGTATATTGAGCTGATTTTTAAAAAGTTGCAAAAGTTGTCCCTAATTTTCCTGCAATTTGATTGATTTATTTAAACAGGCCTTGAAATTTGATTGATTGTGGTGTGTTAGTAGAGTTGTTTTATTGGCTAGAAAAAGATGCGATTTAGAGCAAAAAATTGTGCAATTTATTCATAAATTGCATTGGTGAGAGCCAATTAGATCAGATCACGAGTGATTTCAAATTAAATTCAATAAAAATCAAAATCTGTTGCACAATCTACACAAAAAATAATATTCACAAGGCAAAAGAATTTCTAAAATTAGCGAAGCTCCACTTTTGTCAGCAAATGCAGTTTTCATTTTCCATCCATGATTCGCATCGCGTTTGGGAATCGTAATATAATTCGCTCGAAAGCTCTTTCCATCGCTTTTAGCCCTTTCACCCCTAATAATGATTAGCATCTAAATTCTCTTTATAACATCAAGCTAAATTACACATTGAGGTAACAAGAATAAGGAAATGATCATCAAATTTAGAAACTCTTGATTGTTAAACAAATTCTCTTTGTCAGCACCTTAGGAAATGTATAGAGAACAGTAAGGAGAATATGTATAAGGGTGTAAAGGGTTAAGAGTTAAAAGACCATCGCTTGAAACGGAATATCCTTCCGTAGATTAACTTTCATGGAACGGATAAATCATCTTGAAAATCTCAAACTCGCGACCAAACTGGTCGGGAAGCGGAGGGAAATTTCAGTCGGGAGGCATTTGTTTGTTGGCGTCATTAGCGCGCACAACAGGATTATGAAGCACACTCGCTCTATTGGATGCCTTAATTTACCAGCTATGTTATGAATACATTTTATATCTGCATGCTATCCCCGGTTTTCAAATCATAATGTTCTCACATGACTTCAAAGGACATGCAGAACCACAGTTTACTCCCTCAATTGCATAAACGCTGTCACCTAAAAAGCACGATCCCTGGCCGATGAGAACCGACAGCTTTATGGGGAATGTTCGTTCAGATCCATGTACATGATCAGAAATTAATTTTTTTCACTATATATGAAATCCTTTGCTATTATAATTCTTTCTCCCAGGGAAACATAGATAGCTTCCATCCATCATTCACCACAAGCTAATGATGGCGATAATGTGTACGTTTGTACTCAGGGAGCCGTAAGGCCTCATCGTTCATTGTAAATGTTTTTTTTTTTAAGTGTCAGTTGAGTGTATACAAAACATTCAAGGTGCATCCAGCAGGCATTAAAATTATGAGAATTCTTTCTGTATCTCATATGCAAATCATAAATGATAAGATTTGTCGATAGCTGAATATTAAGAGTACTAGTAAGGTGGCCAGAAGGCCAGTGGGCAGATTTTTATCATTCATGCAGAGGATCATCTGAAGAATAAAGATTGTTTGCTGTCAACAGCAACTTTAAAAGTCAGCCCTTAGTATCTTGTTCCCCCATAACAGTCGTGTCAACATTTATCACATCAACCCTTTGACCCCTACAAGTGACCAGCATCAAATTTTCCATACAACATAATCCCTGCATCAAAAATTAAGTTCATAACAATAAAAGAAAGGATCACCAGCTAAGGAGGCTCTTGATTGTTAAACAAATTCTCCTTGTCATAGCCAAAGGCTATGTATAGAGAAGAGTTTGGAGAATATGGATGCTGATGTTAGGATGTGAAGGGGTTGAGATAAACCCTGTAAAAATGTCAATAAGTTTACAGCAGGTTGGTAAATGGCAAGAGTGATTTGAAATATTTTCAATTTCCAAATTGATTTTACAAAAATAATTCCCCGTAGCTGTTCTTAATACAGTGCAAGTTGTACTTTTAACCAACACTAAAACTATTTTGACAATTTTCTTGTAAGAACTGCATCTTTATACAACCTTCATCTAAACACATAGGAAAATCAAAGCTGTGAACTTGTGGGGCCATCCAAAGAAACTAAAAACTGACAGAAACTATAAAAAAATTCAAAAACTTAACAATAAGTTTGAGGAAAGTTTCCATTTAAACTATTATATGAATATTATCATAACATGACATAGTAGTATATAATATTCTCAAGTGTGTTGGTCAATGTTTGATGGGTTTAAATATTTACATCAAAAATCCTCAAAGTAGCACATTTTGTCATATTTTTCATTAAAGAACTACACTATAAAAATCTTATTTTCATTTCTTTTGATGATTGGCTGTTTGCTTGCTTGTTTGTAAAATGTGGAATTACCACTAAGCAGACTTGGCATGTGAATAAATTGTCACAAATACAAAGATGTTTCACATACCGGTAAAGGTCATCAAGACCCAACATTTACAAAAGAAAGCTCTGACACATGAATCTGGGCCAAACAAAAGTAAAGAATCTTGAGAGGTCAGCCACAATTAGTCAATTAAAATCAACAGACTGTATCAGAGTCTTATCACCCTTTGACTCCTAAGAATGACTAGCATCTAATTTCTCCTTACAATATCACCCCTGAATGATTGAATCACACATTAAGGTCACGAGGGTAAAGGAAATAATCACCAACCAAAGAAGCTCTTCATTCTTAAACAAATTTCCTTGTCAGCACCTTAAAAGGGTTAATACAGTCACCAACTTAACAGAAAATCTGACCCATCAGATTCAGGGGTTTCAAAATGTTTTGTAGAAGGTGTCAGAGTTGGCAAAAGTAGGTGACAATGAAAAGTTTTTTATGGGCCAAAGGTAAATATTTTGGCCAAAGTAACTGGTGACATGTTATCAGGTAGCCAGCAGCAGTCACCTGCTTGTTTTCAAACCCCTGCTGATTTGTACCCTCCACTTGACAAATAACTCTTCAGTCACTCTTCAGATAATTTCCACTCAGGTTGTGCAACAAAATGTCATTCACCCCCACGGACCCAACATAAGTCCTTTTCAAGACTATATTCAACCACATAATCAGACAGAATAACAAGATATAGTACCAACGCTTTCAATAACAGTGAGCGTTAAAAAATTTTTTGCTCTTAAATAGAACCTGCTGCACTGAGATTTTTTTCCCAGTTGTATTGATTTCTATAAATTACTTCATTCCTTGTAGAAACTGAAACGTGGGTTTTAGAAACTGAGAGTTCCCATTGTCACATAAATCCTCAATGAAATGTCAATATAATCTTAGGAACAAGAGCATTATGTAGTTACATAATAGTATCTTAAAATATTGTTTTGACCACATTAACTGGTTCTATCCTAATTTCACAGAGAGTAGACATTACAAGTCAACCATAACACAGTTGCAACTGCAAGCAACAGTAGCTTTGAAAGCAAAATGAGTATTGCAAATAATGCTGGTGTTGCAAGTAATGTTGTCGTGCAAATATGTCAATAATGTACCTTCTGTTGTTGTTGTCACAAATATCAGTATCATGCTTAAGGTATAATCAATAGTAATCAAGAAAAAGTTTTCTTTCAGAAAAACGAAAATCACCAATTGTGTTAATATCCAGACAACTTCATTGCCAGACATCTCAGTATTAACCCGGGTATCGGTGGGAATGAAGTTAGGGCTGTCTTCTATCATTCTGTTTGCTGTAAACAGTGTTGGCCTTTAGTGGAAAAATACCATTCGAATTTAGTTCAATGGCTCTCCATATCCCTGAGATTTTATAAAACTTGACGATGATTCAATGATTTGGGCAAAACATACTTAACAATATGTTCTACCATCATGCTATCCCGTTGTGGTCGCGCAGACATATTGTTCATTACGTACTCGATATGCAGCGACATGTGTTCAAGTTGTTGTAGCTCAGAGACTGATGTTTATGAGTACTAACGCCACAATTCGTGATACAGACATTAAAATCTTTAATCGCGTCACTTACCGTTCAGCTGTAGAGATGTTTTGCCAGTATGAAACGAACGACTATAGTTCACACCGTGCTGTGAAGCACTGCAACGCTCTGTCACCGTTCCTTCGACCTGATATGTCACAAGGTCACCAAAGATATCGTTCTGTCCTTCCCTTATGCGGTTACTCAAGAAAATTCTTTACTCAAGCGTTTAAAATTGTGCTTAAACGAAGGCAAAAAGCATGAAATTACTCTAAAGAACTCTTTTAAAATGCAAAGCTTTTGTTTGGCGGGAAAACGATGTCACGCGTGGAAGAAAAGAAGTCACGTGATATCCGGACTAGAATCATCAGATATCGTCCTTTGTTAAACGTAAATGAAGGCCAGAATTGCACGATTAACCTCTAGTTTTTGGGGTCATCTTTCCAAGATCCCAGTGGCAAAGGTGTTTTGCATAGCTACTGATCTTGACCTTTTGTTTAAACCACTGAACATAAGGATCGAATCGGGAAGGAAACTTATTTCAATAGGCCTTATTGTCAGAAATGTCAGAACTCCGGAAATACATTACGCACGTTCATGTTCGTTTACTATTATTAAGTCGTATATATCCATACTTGGTGTCGCTGATATTATTGTCCATCGCATTAGTGAAAATCAGCCGAACCGAAACGAAGTACCTTAAATGTCGGTCTAACCACCAAAGGAAGTAATGAATTTTTTATCGAACTGATTCGTTCTGTATAATTAAAAACCGAATTTTCCACCTTCAGAAATGCCGTCGAAGATCGGGCTAGAGGTTATAACCGAGCCCATCGTTGGAAAGTTATGGACCTCCCATACAGTGACGTGGCAGGTATTTTTACATGGCACTTCCTACACCATCATATTACTAAAGTTTGCGACATGCCAGGTTATTTTATTACGATAATTAAATTATCACTTTTCTTCACAAGATGAGAGGTTCCGTGCATCCTTAGACCCCCTAACCCTGTGACCCAACTCCTTGGCTTCGACCTTGTTACACCGCAAGACAAGTGCACTTGACAGTTCTACGAAAATTGTATTTTACTTCAATCTAACTAAGATGACATATCATAGTTTCACTTCCATTGAGACGAGTGAAACACATTCCCTTCGCAATCTCTTTAGGCGTTGAGATATCTTGCATGATGTCTGATATGATCCTCGACAAAAGATGCAATAAAGTAATAACTATGATTGTAGCCCTGTGGAAAGAAAAAAAACAGTCTTCATTACAAACTCAAAAGTAGTAATACCTGTTCGCAAAGTAAGATATCGGATTTTTACAGTCTTCTCCATCTAACCAGCTAATTATGGGCATCAAAACATTGTGTCGATGAAGTTAATGTACCTCATGCAATCTCAAGGTGACCGGTACATTCCTTGACCTACAAGCCTCAACAAAGTTCTCTGGAAGCAGTTGAGATGGGTAAAATTCATCAGCTACACCCTACAGAGGAAAAAAAGGGGACCATTCAAGAACTGAATCATAATGCACACTTTTTAACTAACCCTTTACCCCTAAGAGTGACCAACATCTAATTTCTCTTTGCACCATCACCCCTGAATGACACACGAAGAAGATCAGCGGAACAGAGGAAATGATCACCAACCCTAGAAGCTCTTGATTATTGAACAAATTCTCCCTGTTGGCAACTTGAGAAGTGTATAAATAACAGTATGGAGAATATGCATGCAAATGTCAGGATGCAGAAGGTTAAGATGGTAAAACACCATTCCTTAGAGCTGGCCTGTAAAACTGACTCTTATTGCTTCTAGAATTGTGGTGAGAATGCTGACACACTGCAAGTTATCCATTAGTAATTTCTCAGATTTCCAAAACAGTTTGCCACCACCGTTTTACACTCTTGAATGGAGCAAAGCTATGAGATTTAAGCTTCTTGGCCAAGAGCCCATTTCAATGACCCTTTAGGGGCTAAAACCCAGACATTCTGACCTGAGTCAAGCTTTGGACCCTTTAGGCCACCACAACCTTCACAACCATAAAATTCAAGAGGATCAAATTGTTTTAACTTTTGCTCCACACAAACAATAATAATAACCAAGAGACAAAACAAAAGATTGCAGCAGGAAGAATTTCACTTTTACATGTATTTTTATTTTCATTTTAGACATAACCCCACAGGTAATTAACCCTAATTATCTACATCATATAAAAACTTTTTTAGAATCAGTTAATGATAATTTTCAATTGATACCTGATCAATGAGTATGTCTGGTGGAGGACCATCATAACCTTTCACTAGTTCAGTGGCATCGTACTCCTAACAAATAAGAGGATATAACACATTCAACCCTTTAACTCACAGAAGTGATAAACATGTAACTTCTCCCTGCAATATCTAAACATTTTCCAGCAAACAAGAGATGAGAACACTCAAACTAATCAGGTAGAAGTTGTTATCTTGATCTAACACCAAAGTCTTGTAACTTATTTACAAGGAAATGTGTAGCAGTTAGAGGGGAGAATTTACAATCAGATCTCATAGAGGCAGTTAAAGAATTAAACATTTTAAAAGAAATACATCTGTCAACTGATGTTTAAACTCTTGACCAAACCAGTAACAAATTCAATATCTTTCATTTGTAAAGAGACATAATTATTTATCATTAACAGGATTGCTGCAGTTTTTGAGTCACAAGCTATATGCTATACTTTTTTAATCCCCAAATTCCCATAAATGGCCAATGTTTAACTTCTCCTTACAATATCCATATGTCATCTTGCAAATATGTGATGAGATTTAAAAAAACTGATCAGCTAGCTGCAGGTGTTAACAAAGAGGACATCAAATTCTCTATGTAAAAAATCTCATCAAAATGTAGCACAGGGAACAGGGAGAAGCTTGAAAGTTTAAGGGTAAGCTATACGATAGTGGAATCCAGGGTTACCTTCCATGCCTCCTGGTTGCCTCCTAAATATCCAGTGAAGGCTTTCTGTCCCCAAGCCCCTTGCACTGGGTTGCAGATAGGTGCAAAGGCTGAAACAGACTGTGAAGAGAAAGGAGATTGAACAATAATTCTATTGTTTTAAAATGTTAACATGTAAAGTTAACATTTTGTCAAGAAAAAGCAGTTGGCAGCCGTAGACCTTGGTCAGCTACACAACTAATTCCCTTTCTTATCCCTAGCCACTACATTCAAATTCAATTTCCCAAGAACTTGTAAGTATTTCATATTTTGTGATTTACCCATTTCCCTGAAATTTCTTTAAAAATAACCCTGGCCAGTACTTTGATGGTTCATGTAAAGAAATATCAAGACAGGAAACTGTTGAAGCTTACCTTATAAAATCCTGGGTTTTTGAGGAAGCATATTAAAGCTCCATGACCACCCATGCTAAATAAAGACAGCAAAACAAAGAAGTTTTCACCAGATAATAAAAATTGTATTAAAATGCTAACTAAAAAAAAACACCATTGTCTGGAATGGAGTAATATTCTTTTCAGTTAAACAGTTAATAACCCAGTCCATCAAAAAAACATGAAAAATACATATGAAATTGTAAAGGCATGAGCCAAGGATATTCTCAAAAAACAATCTACTTCTCTGAAAATTACTTTTATTTGATAAAGATGCTGCGTAGAAGAACTCTTTTGCAAAAATGATGATAATCATTCTCTTTAAAGACTATCCATATATTGTACTTATTTTTTGTTTTGAACACCTTAAACTTTCCATAAGCATAAAATGCATTAATTTTGCCCTTTCCCACCCCCCTTGAAATATGAAATGACACTTAGGCATTCCCAAGAATAAAAAAATTTGCTGAAATATACAATAAAAATGATGATTCCAGTTACTGGGTTGCCATTCTGTGAAAAATATGTATCAAGTTAAGTTCACCTGTGGCCAAAAATGGACTGCTTGCCTGACAGAACAGGAAAGTTACTTTCAATCAAAGCTGGAAGCTGCAGATAAAATGAATTATACCACAATATTTAGCCAAAGGCTTCATGTCCGTAACCCAAAGTGGCCCAGCTTACAATGTTCATATCTCACTTTTGAAGCCTGGACTCACTGCAATGAGTTATCATATAGAGAGTGTGTATGTCTGACATTGTTAACTCCCATGTTATATCTTATACCTGGGAATTGAATGAGATTGACAATGAGAATTGTCACTGCCTTCACAACTCCCACTGTACCCTCAGATCCTGCACTAACCTCTTTTGTGATATATGAGTACATTCTGTAGTTTGTCTTCCACTTTTCCTCAGTTGCATCAATATAAAAACCAGCACCAGTTCCAAAATCATAACTATCATCTTCGCCTTCAATGCCACATGATCCTATGAAAATCAAGAGTTTCATGTTACTTGTCTGCCAACTCTGCTCATAGGAAAAAAAACAGTTACCAAAATTAGTATCTTCCTTTCACTCCCATGGCAAATGCTCCATAGAACTTATCTCTCCTCATTCAAATTAACCATCTTCCTCAAGTGCTGATCCCTACCTTGTCAAAAAGCTTTCACGGGGCATAACTCACAAACTAGTGTGCTAAAGCTTGCTTGATATAGTCTCTTACAATGAAATCAAACCTGCCCATGGTTCAATACCCCACAAGGACATAGGTTTTTCATCTTTGTCCTATGTTCATGACTCTGAAATGTTCAACATTTTTCTATCTCTATCTTCCTCTTATTTGGTTCTCTGAAAAATTACAATCTATTAATTCGTTGCTAGCCTCAAATTTAGCCATGGACAGAGAGCATGTTCTAAAAGTACCTGCATGAATTTTATTGGGTAAGGAAATTTCGCTACTAATTGTTTATGGTTTGACATGTATATTTGTTGGTAATATGCTGTTGCCAAAACATTATTTACATGATTTAATTTCTATTTTTTTCAGGCCTTATTTTCACTACTGCCTAAGTAGTGCACATTACTGTGAGGTTCACTTTCATTCACGTCTTTATCCGCAGTTCAAATATATGACTTTCATATATTCTTAACCATTTATTCATCACTTCACGGGTTTATTTAGAACCAACTTCATGACCAGCTCCCAGTTAGCTTGTTAGCTCAGTTGGTAGAGCGCTGCACCGGTATCGCAGAGGTCATGGGTTCAAATCCTGTACAGGCCTGAATTTTTTTCAGGCCTTATTTTCACTACTGCCTAAGTAGTGCACATTACTGTGAGGTTCACTTTCATTCACATCTTTCTATCTCATTGTCAAACTTATAAATAGTAAACTTACGTGGGCTTGTGTCAGGAGCCACAATCAACACACCCAGTTCTGATGCAGTGCGTTGAGCACCAGCCTTTGTGATGAAGTTTTGCTCAGTGCATGTTAGACCTAAATTAGGTAAGAGCAAATGCGATGCCATAAAGAAAGCAAAATAACATTACTAGGCAATTAAGAGTTCTAACATTTTTTTTCGACATTGGTTTCTCATCTAGTAATAAGTCTAGTCTTCTATCTCAAATTATGGGTATTGTTGCAAATTGAGGGAGTTCAATCTTATAACAAAAAACTGTGTTTATGTGTTTTGTGATCAAACACCACACAATGAAGTAGCTATAATTCCTGATTAGGGTTTAGTTAACTGTTATAAAAACAACTACTTCTCATTTTATACAGTGGTGATGGTAAGGCTTTTGAGTAGCTTACTAGCCAGATGACGCACCCTGTCAAAGCTTATCCAATTTCCAGTAACATGGGAACACAAGAAGTATAGCTGCTCACCCTTGAACAGAATACCAAACCATAGCAGGGTTATCCCTATTCTCCCTGAGCTGATCTCAGTTTCAGTACTGTAGGGTACAAAGAAGCATGTTCTCACCCCAAAATGGAATTCCAAACCATAGCAAAGTTGCCTCACATCCCACTTGAGTACAACCCACTTTCAGTAATATGAGGCAACTAGAAGTATTACTTCTCATCCTTAGACAAAGTGCCAGACCATTTCCAGGTTACCTCCTGAATCTTGTTAGGTTTCAGTGAAAGTTCACTGACACCCGATTATACTTTCAAGTGAAGAGAGGCACTTTGAGAAAAAAGTGTCTTGCCTAAGAACACAACACAGTGGCCTGCCACAGCTCTAACCTAGATCTTGCATTCCAAAGATCTTCACTATGATGACTAGGTCACTGTCCCCCATACTCTATAAACAAAGACTAATTCATCAACAAAAACTGTGATCACCTGATAGCCAATATAACACTGGGACTTTATCCTTCTCTGCCTGAGGAGGGACATACACAGCAAATTTCATTTCACACTTTAGTTCCGAACTAAAAAAAAGGAAATTTGAATTCATATATCAACAACCTTTGTTCACACAATAACAAGAAAAGAACACAAAAAGGTGGCAAAGGAGGAGGGGGGAGGGGGGATTACCCTGTGCCACTATCACAGAAGTTGACAACCCTCAATAGTATTATTTCGATAAAGAGAAAATGAATGAGCTGTCAGTAAGCAGATACTTGTGTTTGAAGGATGAATCCAATTATTAGCAACTCATTCATTAATGCTTACAGACTTGCTTTCTCACCCAGAGCTTATCAAGATGAATCTTCTCCTAACTCCTGTAACGCACTGGACTGGGTTCATGCAGAGAATTGAAGATTTAATTAATTACCTAAGGGTTATTAATTTAATTAGGCACCTAAATCTCTGCGTCAAAAAACAAGTAAATCTATGGCACTCATTAAGGAGATTTTAAAGGTAGACATTGGGGTAAAGGATCACTGAAGGACATTTGATAACATTTAACGCCCAGGAGGTTTCGATTTCTGGACGATTGGAGTATGCAACTGTTTACTTCTCCTCGAGTTCGTTGCTGATGGAAAGCTGATGCCATTAAACAGAGCCTAAATCAAGACAGTTGAAAGTCAATAAATGAATCCTCAAAGAAAAAGAGCCGCCGACCTTTTGTGCTTGAAAACCTTCTGTAATCCGCCAAAACATTTTGCACTAGATACTTCTTCCAGCGCCATGATCACTTGCCTAGTAAAGGTTCTGGAAGATATATGCAGAAATCGTGCGATGATTGGAATACCTGAAAAAGAGAACTGACAGTTAGCAAGTATTTAAACGTTTTCATTAACTAAATCATGTCCAACAAAATCACTAAAGAGGAAAATAGTTTTTTAACAAATCTTACCCAGTGTACAAAATTGCTTTTAAGACGGAAGGTCGCGTAAGGGAGCAGTACCAGGTCTCCATCTGTCAAAACGGAAGAACTTTAAGGGTACGGTGGGGAGTGGGGGTGGTCGTCATGGCGGTGTCTTCCACATTCCGCTCCCTACCCTATTTAAAGTCTGTTTGACCGTATTTTAAAAAGTGAGAGTTTGCCGGATGTAATGCTTCGTTCAGGGCTGCTATTCTTGCAGTAACCATCGCCTTACTCAGCTTCAAGTCTTTCTGACTGGATCTTCAATCGGAAAAACTAATAATTAACAGGATCCTATGTTACAGATTCTGCACTTTGACAGTTTTCTCCCAAGAGCGCCCATGTTAGGAGCTCCCTCGTAAGGCAGAAACCTCTACCGTAAAATTTATTTCTGTCAATGGGCTAAAGTCATATCTATTTCTGAATTCTGGCCGAGAATCTGTCATGATTCCCCTATTATTCAGGCTAACAAAGAAAACAAGTGCACTCATATTCTCAACGTGCACGAAACTGCAGTAGTCAGTGACAACAAGAGAACGAGGCTTTGGACGTCAGCTGCTAGAACCTCGTTTTTCAAGGCTGCTGCATTTTGCGTGATTATGGAAACACCGTTTAATTTTTATGTTTGAGATATGAACGTTGGCCTCTATTTCTTGCCGTTTCCTGCACAGATAACAGAACACAGGAAGAAACCCAGAATAACTAAGCGGTGACGCAGATAGACTGTGGATAAGGGAAGTACAGATTATCAGATACTCTATCAACCAGTAGTATAGTATTATACAACATAAAATCCCTTCTCGAAAACGTCTGGCATGCAGTTATTTTTTTTAGGCGGCAGTTCTCAAACCATTGTCGCCAGGAAGTTAGTCGGCAAAGGTTATCAACACTCGCGCCGATTTCAACATTTTTGCGTAATGACCATGAGGTTGATTTGTCTTGCTGGTTAAACATGGGTCTGTTTATATACGTTTGACGATGTGTTATTCCAAGTTTACCTCACACTTTGCAACATGTAACAAGGGCGTCAGCTTTAAGAGTGAATATCCTGGGGAGAAACTCGGAATTTCAGTAATTCCTCAGAGGCTGGTTTAGTTTTAACCCTGCCACTCCCAAGATCTAAATATAATGGTCGTCATTTCTCGCTTTACTTTGGTTAATGATTTTAGCTCTGAGAATTTGGTTTTACACCAAAAACATTTTCTAATTGATATTTTCCATATCATCACCTTCTTTTGGAAATTTACTCATAGCACAAGGAGAATTTCCGTTTTGCTCATTCTATCGAAAATAAAAGGGCTAAGTGTGCGGTGCATAGGTAGATTGTGATCATGTGCGACGCGGATCTCCACAGGCTGTCTATTATTAACTTTAAGGTCGTTGTAAAAGAGGTTAAGATCTTTTTTGACTTTTCCATAATCTAATTAATTAATAGCAGACGTTTCAATGAACTTACGCAAATGAAAACCGCAAGCAAATTTACGGTGAAATAAATCCGGAAAGCGGAAACCGTGTTTTAACCACAAAGAGATACCATTGCACGACCTTACGAAAGTAATGGATTTAAATATAAATATGGATTAGACTAGTAGAAAAAAATGCAGGGGAAAACGATTACGTTCTGAAAATTACTGAGCAGCAAGCAATTAAAAAATTTTGCTGGTGTTTCGTGGGCTTAATATGCCCACAATTTTACCTGGCTACAGCCTTTTATATGGAACACCAAAAGGATAGGCCAGGAAAGAACTTTGCTGGCTCGGCTCCGAAAGATTTCAGAAATTACGACTAAGTGTCAACAAATCGAAGAAAACGAACTACTTGTACGCAGTTTTATTTCTTTTAAGTCATGTGTCAGTGCACTCGAGCTTGACAACTCAAAAGATTTGAAGTCCAAGCACAGTACTTTGTTTCAATTATGATAGTCTTGTGATGCTTGTGCTCTCCAGGTTTCTTAGCTTTTCAATGTAATTGGATTTCAAACACGCAGTTGGTAGTTTTGTTTACCACTGAGCTGTCATCTCCGTTCATTTAAACCTATTTGATTCATTCGGCTTGCTCTAAGGTAGTTTTAATGACTCGTGAATTAGCTTAGTGATTCGCTCATGGTGTGTTGTTGGGAACTATTTTTGCAATCATTGGTTCGGTTAGGCGCCACAGATTTTTCTGATCCGCCCAGTCGTGTAGAAACAATAGGAATTTAGATATGATCAAGTTCTGAACAGTCTCTGGGATATTTGCTCAGTCGGCAGGAGGCGTAAATTTTGCCATTACAGGTGTTAGCTCTGACAAGTTTAAAGAGAGAAACAGTTACTTCCTGTCGCGGTGAAGTGTGCTCATGTTTAAGAAAATGTTTATCAGTTTGAGGTATCGGCTGTGTCGAGTTCCCAGTGGGATGCAATATCTTTTTAAAAAAAAAATAATGTGAGACTGACCAAACTCAATGGTTTGACCTTGACAGATTGGATGGTATTAAGCTGACTAAATTGATAAAGCTAGTTAATGCAGATGACGCCTGGATGCGACTCTCGGACTTTTTCGGTATTTAGTTTGCTTTCTTTCTCTTATTATTTTCTTTAGGTTCCCGGTGTAATTAAAAAAAAAAAGACTTATATTCCAAATTCCAATTCGACCTCAATGGAAACAGTGTGCAAAAAGTCATTCAAAGAGGGGGGGCTCCTAATCCCGTTTCACGCACAATTGTAGAAAAATTCATCCGCCATTTGTACTTTAATCAGTCTTTGACTTGTTCGTTTTCACGAATTAAAAAGAGAAAACCATAAGCTTCACCTTATCTTTCCTCTTTGTTAATTTTGCATGGCACGTATTAATTTTGGACTTAATTACGCGTAAAGTTTAAACCATTTGCCACCCTCAACTCGTAGAAGTACTTTTGCTAAACTTGTATATACCGATTTATCTATTGATGCATTTATTTATTCAATCCGTTTATACTGAATGTTTGTTATGGCAAATCTATATTGAACCAAAGTCTCTACTCTATGATGAACTTTACTGTGCATCAGAACGTACCAATTAAATTGCAATTTACATAAAGGTCAGTTTTACCCGTGACTCCATTACAACAGAAATGATTCAGGATTCCTGACAAGTTTTCACCGGGAGGGTTTGGGTGTTTGCCTATTGCTTTTCCTTCCTTCGCAGTCAGAGGACCTTTCATGTGACAAAAATAGAAATAAAGCGGTAACAGGCCATACATCTATTCTTAACTAAATTGGTTATATACTTCGTGTCATTTATAGGCCCCTGAGAGGAAACAATCACCTCTACGCCTATTTTATATATAATTTATCTTTTCTCTCTTGAATGTTAATTACCCCTCCCACTATAATGATTTATCTGGAGTCAGTTTAGCTCTGTCATTGTCCAGATAATTCGCTAGAAGATAGCTCTGTGGACTAGACACCTAAATGAAAGGCAAAGGCAATTTTTAAGTTGCGGCAATAGTAATTGGAAGGCGCTTGAATAACATTTCCGAAAATTATCGATAAAGGGTTTTTCGAAAAATATCACACAACTTGCAGCAGGACCATTGTTTAAGGCTTCCTGTTATTCATAGACTGATGATTGATTTTTTGCGCTTATCAAAGAAATGGAAATAGACCCAAACAGATTTTGTCGGACGCCCGTGTTTTTCATCGCCCAACTTTGCTTATATTTTTCTTCAAGGAGAAAAGGCGAGAGACTTGAATTGTCGCAGAGTAATATTTCCCATGAAAAATGCAAGATATTGCTAAATGAAACAGAAAACCTATATCCATACGCGCGCGGCATATCTCAAGGTTACATAATCACTCAAGCAGCCTCTAAAACGGCTTATTGCTTAGATATTGGGCATTATTTGGCAGAAAATGTCACCCTAAGTATGGATTTTGGCGTCAATTGTTTTATGCAAATGCAGTTTTAGTGCTTTTCTTTTAGTTCCGGGGCAATTTAAAACGATATATTTTCGTGACAAGAGCTTCCTTTTCGAGAGGGCACAGCCACTGGTGATTTTAGATTAAAATAAACTTTTTCAGGCGCTTGTAACTGAAATTGTAGAACGTGTGGCGGGCACTTTATCGGCAAAAATCTCTCGATGACTCTGAGAGCCTGAAATGCATATACCTACAATATAAGGAAATGCAATGATTTCCACTCAAGAGCCTACAAAATATTTACATAATTACAATGTTGCATCGGGAACACCCATCAAAGGAAAAACAAAGCAGCTGTCGTAATCTCCCACATATTTTGTAAAATTCGCTTCATTTTTTTTTCACATGTAGAAATTAATCAACTCAGGGAATTTGAGTGTATATTTACAAATCAAGATCTGTAAAATACTTGAATAAAGGAGAAAATGGCCTTCATCTCTTAGTTTTGTTTTTGTATAAATGGTGATGTTATTGAAACCAAAATGCTTTGTTTTCCCACAAACTTTTCTTTTCGTTTTGAAGATAGCTGAAGCTACAATAAAAATTTATTTTCATGTGAATGTTCTCAAAGTATGTCGGAATTTCCGTTTCCCGCCCTCGCGCCACGAGATCTGAAAAAGAAAGGGCTGTCAAACAAAACGATTATCAGCCAATCACAGTTCGACGTTGGATCACATGTAAAAACAGAAGAAAACCATGCGAGGTTCTTGTCGAATGAATATGCGAGATCGTTGCACGGATTGAAGGTCACGACAATATCCTCAAAATATTTTCCAACAGGAAACGGTCTTGATGTTATGTCGTCTATAAAATACCATAGCAGTGTTGCAACAGCTCTCAATGATGCGTGGTAATCCGAGGTCGTTTTTCCGCGCCGACCTTCTCGCTTATTCGTCTGCGTGGGGACGGCATCATCGAAACCAAGATTTTCCCGATACCAGTTAGTTTTACTTACGAGTTATGGCTGCTTTAGACAATTTATCACCCCGGTTGGAAACGGAGAAGCTTCAGCATAATTCAAGTATGGACACAATGTTTTGTTCAACACGTTTTCTTGTGTGGTCTTTGCGCTTATCGCTTTTGGACTCTCCAGCTGATAGCCGCTGTTGCACGTGAACAAAATGTAGATTAATTTCTCAATTTAGTCCACAGGCAGATACAAGTATTGAAGGACAAAATTTCAGATTTAAGCAGGACAAACTATGAATTGGAAAAAGAGGTTCGCTTCTTCGATCAACGTATTGGACTTCTCATCAACCACAAAAAAGGGATAGAAGTGAGTCGTCGTAATTAACTAGTCATGAGGAACATTTGGCAGTCAGCTGCCGTATGAAAGCCACCGTTGACTTCTCTAATGAGCTTACTTGTACTCTCTCTTTCTCCCGGTGATTTTTTTAGGAATTGACTGATTATTTTGTTGAAGGAGAGAGGAGCTCGAAGTGCGGTAGGTTGTTGATATTATACCACAACTGTACATGTTAATACTATATTTATTAGAACACCTTTAGTTTAATCGAACTTATAATAAGCGCGCGTGACTCGAAATGAAAATTCGAGTCCATTACTTTGTCAGTTAGAAACTTATTCGTGACTTGTGTCATGCCCTCTCGCACAAGCTGCTGAGCCGTAAGAAATTAAAGGATTAAAATTTCAAGGACATGTTGCAAATCCGTTATCATTTTCCAGGAGTAAGAATGTATTCTATTTCCTTTTTGCGCACCACGAAACAGGAACGTAAAAACGACAAAAAATTCAAGCTAATTTCACTTTTCAAGCTCCATTTTACAATGCGTTTTTCAGCTAGAGTTATTTCAGCTCTATGCTATCATGCATTTTTAAGTAGTTTTTATTTTATTTTTTGTTTTTTTTTTTCTGGAAGATGGCCTTGTATTGTTTTCATTTTTATGGTTTTCGTTTTTCCTCTCGACTGCAACAGTGTAAGGTGTGACTCGATAGAATCATAATAATTTTTTTTTCATTTGATACACGTGGGAACAGCCGAAGTGCTTGCGTTAATAACAGGAGGTTTTAACAGATAAACCACCGCTTGATGTGTGTTTAGTCTGGCAGGGTAAATGGTGCAAGAGTAGCCCTACTCAAGGTTTTCGAATACTGAATTGCTGTTCCTTTGTGCATGGGATTAGAATGTTTCGTTGTGTTGTTCATGTTTTGGCAATTGCCGCACCGGATGCAACAATTTATAATGCAACAGCTACAGGCTTGAAAGGAAAGCGTTATTCTCTTATTGTTATGTTAATATTATCCAAGCTCTGTAACATTTTCGTGGTCAGATGTGACTGATTTGTTATTTCTCCTTACGTTATCGTTGAAATATTCAGTAGACAGGTGATATGAAAAAGAGAAATGCTGAAAGCAATAAGTTTCTGGATGATTCTGACAACCGACTATGAAAGAAATACATGCGGACAAAAAGAATCATTTTTCTTAACGTTTTTTTAGAGAAATGATTTTTATTTTTCTAAAACTTCCCTGTGATCAACTGTTTAAAAAAGGTGACTGGTAACTGGGTCTCAACTTTAAGAAAGGAAAAAAATATAATTAGATCATTTTCTAATTGTATGTATACATTGTAAGTTGGTTAATTTGCGATGCAAAATGCAAACTGAAAAGTTGTGTTTTGGAAGAGATCAGAGGTCACAGTAGCAGGATAGTTTTGGCACGAAACATGTGTACGACTTCCTGCTTTGAAACTTATGCTGTTTCTACACCCATAATTAAGTTGTTTAAGGGTTTTGTGACTTTGCCAAAGTAAGCTTGCACAAGATCATTTTTCACAGCAAGCACTCATGCTTTTCTCAGAAAGGTACGTGACTCCTTCACAAAGAAAAGATTGTTATAAAGTAGCCAAAGAATTCAGAATAAAAGACCAAGGGCCTATACACACTAGAAAAAAGGTTTTTCATTTAATAAACCAATTTTCTGTTGTCACCAACACTTGACAAATTTTGGCTGAAGCGGAAATATCTTCAGATGCAAAACCAACAAAATTCTTTGCAGGTATATATTGAGCAGATCAGGTGCTGGCTGAATTTGACTGCTTTGAAATTTTTAATGCGGATGTAACAGAGGAGACAAAAATTTTTTAAGACAAAATATGTCCTTTGATTTTGTTTTGACAATCCTACTTTTGCCTGTTAGTGCTGATAGACCAAACCTCTAAAGGTCTGTTTGAGGGAACAATCATTTAAGGTTTCATTTCCTCATTCCCTCATGTAATGATATTTATAAATAGTGATTTTGTCATTTATAACAGGATTTTCATTTTTGCTGGTGCCATTTTCATTATCCCTTAACTTCCAAGATCTGATTGTTAATTTTCCACTCTTGTAACTAGACATTTCCTTGTAAATCAGTTACCAGAATTTGGTTTTAGATCAAGATGACTTCTACCCAATAAGTTTGTGTATTCTCATGGTCAGTTTTCTGGATGATGTATTGATATTTTAAGGAGAAGTTACATGTTTATCACTTGTGCAATTTGAAGGGGTTATTTAGATTATAGTATCTCTTATGCTAATGGTTTACTTTTCTTGCAGAAAAAATAGATAGTGAAACACAACAGCAGGTATGTGATTGATTCAGAGAAGTTCACTTTAGGCCACAGAGAAGAATTTTGTTGTTGTGTTTAGTAATAAGCTGAGAGTTGGGGTGATGGAACAGTTTCTCTTCAGTTTAATGGTAGTTGACAGGCTGATTGTAATCCTTTGCTAAATGTAGATTGATTAGTCTTTTTTCGGTCTGCATACCTGGGGCACGAAATTAAATTAAATACAATTAGGGATAGTAGTGCTAATTTAATAAAATTTCATTTGTGCCATTATTGACATTTCCTTTTTGAACCTTAACCCTTAAACTCCCATGAGCGACCAAGACATAATTTCTCCTTACAAAATCAATACAGTAACAACCAGATAAGTGATGAGAATAAAGAAAAATATGAATTAGGGGATTATAAGTTGATCCAATACCAAATTCTAAAACTAACATTTCAAGAACTGTACGGCAGACAGTAAGGAGAATTACTAATGAGATTGTGGGAGTTAAAGGGTTAATTTTCCTAATACTCTTCTTAATCAGGTTAACCATTTTAGTCCAATCCATTCCGAACAATGTAAAACCAAGAAAACAATATAGTGGTTGTATTTTTCAGCTTGGTTAGAAAACTATTGCTATTATTTATCCTGATTCTTTTTAAGGGATACTGTATGGTGAAAAAATATGATATTTTAATGAGGAGTATTTTTTCTCTTTTTCTTTACACAGAAATATGGCAATCTGTTTTTCCTTCTTCAAACAGAAGCCTCCTATCTAGCACAGCTTACAAGAATTGTTTCACTTGATGAGATTGATGGTAAGCACTAGAAAATCAAACCGCTGGAAATTGTTGTTTCACGCAAGGAGACATGAAGCTGTGCCCTAATGGATTTGTAGACAGTTAGGCAACTAGTGTATAACCAACAAAATTTCTAAGTTATCTTAGTGATTGCTTTTTCTTTTAGACCTTTTACAGCCTGTCTTGTTCTCACTGTATGGCAATCAGTATGAGCTTCGTGAGGAATATCTGTTACTTACTATGTTCCAGGTAAGTGTCTTTGCTGTGCACATGGTGAGGTACAAACCTCTCATTAACTTTTTACATCCGAACATCATGATGCATATCCTCCATACAGTTCTCTATACATTTCCTTAAGTGCTGATGAGGAGAATTTTTCTAACAATCAAAAGTTCCTTTAGTTCCTTTTTACATATTCTCCATACTGTTTTCTGTACATTTCCTAAGGTGCTGAAAAGGAGAATATGTTTAAAAATCAAGAGCTTCTTTAGTTGGTGATCATTTCCTTTATTCTTGGGACCCTGATGTGTGATTCAGGGGTGATACTGTAAGGAGAAATTAGATGCTGGTCACTCTCAGGGGTCAAAGGGTGAATTGCGTGACTTTATTGTGTAAAATAAGGGGTGTTACTATGAAGAGAAATTAGATGCTTGTCGCTCCTAGGAATGAAAGGGTTAGCACAATTAGAATAACATTTACCTTGAGAAAATCATTGGGTTTTAGGTCTTTACTGCAAGTTACACATCAAATTTTTTTTCACTCTGATTTAAAAAACTGGGTTCTGTAACTTGCAGGACCAAGTTAAACACAATAATTATTTAACTGGGTTTAAAATGGAGTGGAAGATTTCATTTCAAACAAACTTTTGAATTTAGCAGATCACGGAATGAAATGCGGCCTGCTTAATTGACCAATTATAGGACACATACAAACTGAGAGATAAAATAAGATCTGTTATTCTCTTTAAGCTTGCTCTGAAGTATGAAGTAAATGAATCTGAGACATTTAACAGTCTTCTCCGGGCTAACACAGCTATCACGCGAATGATGACAACATATACAAGGTGCATAACCTCTGCATAAATCATGCTGTAACTGAATATCAAACGATGATAAATAAATTTTTTTAATGATTATTGCGAGTATAATTGTAATTGTTTAATCGTATTTTATGAATATCCATTGACATTTTCTTATTAATTTTGTTAAGCTTTCAAACAAGTTCATCTTCTCAAAATCATAAGGAGAATTAAATGTCATTACATAGATGACAGCCATGCCAAGAGATTACATTTGTTATCTCTTGTTTCATGCTCATTATATGACAGGTAGATTGAGCAGGTTGCACAGAGAATTGTTTTTCTTTCCCAAGCTTTTTATGGTGAACTTTTGTTTGTTACCAAAAATTTGAAGAAATATCACTCTTTGTGGCAAAATGGTGTGAAGTGCAGGTGAGAATCTTCCCACAAACTTCCATATGAAACTTCCAAAAAACAATAAACAAAATTTGGCGATTTTCATTTGCATTATTCTAGCACAATACTGTATAGATACTTTTTTAAAAATGTTTCTCTTTGTATAGGAGAGGCCCAGGGCAGGAATATCTGAAGTCAACTCTAGGAGCTCTTGTCAGACATGTTGTTGATCAGGACCATCTGCAACTTGAAATCAACCCTCTTAAGGTTTGGGCTTTTGGCTTTAACACTTTAACACTCAAGATCTCATTAGTAATTCTCCTTACCATCTGCTGTACAATTCTTCTGATGTTACTTCTGAGAATTTGGTATTGGATCAACTAATAATCCCCTAATTGATACTTTTCCTGGTTCTCATCATTTGTCTTCATGATTTTGTATTGATATTGTAAGGAGAAATTCTGTCTTGGTCACTCATGGAAGTTAAAGGGTTAATTAAACTGAAAAAAATCCTAAAGAGCAATAGATATCTCTGTAGATAGTTACAGATAAACCCAGTGTTAAGGGCAGAGCTCATCAAGCCACAAGTTGCCATGACAAGCAGCTTCTAATGCACTGTTCTAAAATGTAAGATGGTGCCTCTCAATTTTTTGCTATAATCATGGGAGAAAATAAAACTAATTTGAAGGTGTGTAATTGTTATCCAGAGCAAATTCTGCTTCTGTCACAAATATGTTGAAAATAATCTCCCTATGTTTCACCAACTGTCAAATGGGACTTGTCTATGAAATGGCAACCTGTTGTTGAGTGTCTTGCCACCTTACAGGGACCATGTAGTTATTTTTCTTGGACAAGGTTAACCTTACTCTGATTAATATGATCAAACTTTCATTGCTTTGGTTGGCCAACATTCTATCCAGGATAAAAGGTAGTATTGTATTGTATTACTTGGTAGTGCAGGAAACTGGATGCATGTAGCTTCCAACAGATACACTGAATTCAAGATTCAAAGGACTATCCCTCTGTTTCAGGTTTATGTTGAAATTTATGGGTCTCCTGTGAATTTGTCTTTTGGACAATTGACTATGGAACGGGTATGCTAAATATTTATTGAAATTTGTTTACTTAGTTTGATTAATTTAGTCAAATAGCTTTATTTACAGATTTGTTGATTTTTTTTTACTATTTTGTTTCCTTAATTTTGAAGACATGTGTAAAGAGTAGTGGTTTTAAGTCAGAATTAAATGCTTCACTCAAAAGTTACCCCCTCCCATCAAAGTAAATCTCTCGACAATAACTGCATCCCCTCCCCTCCCCATGGAAGAAAGAGCATATCTCGTTCAGCAGCAGTCTTTACTTGGTAACTGAGAGGAACAATTCCCCCCAAAAAACCTGTTATTTCCTGTTATACTATCTGGGAGGTATATTTGTCCCTTTGTTATTACCTCTCTGTAAAAACAAGATAATATAGAATGCTACAAAAACAGCAACAAAGCTAATTCTCAACTCATTTCAATCCCATTTATGTATTCAAATTTTCAGGCCTTGGATGACCCAAGAGTGCAAGAGGTTATACAAGAACATATCCTTTTTCTCGTTGTGATTTATAAAAAAACAACGGTTTTACAAGTAGTGTGGTGATTGTTTTAGAAGGGTAATAGAGTGTAACTTTCTGAAGAAATTTGGACAGTTAAATTTGATGATATTCTATACAAGCCTTTAGAATTGGATGGCATCAACAAAAGTAACTTTAAGACGAGCAATTAAAAAAAATGCAGAAGAGAGAAAACTCATTGCAGTTAAATTAACTAGTGAAATAGTTGCAAATAAAAGAAAGGCCTTAAAAATATTAGGCAAGCAAATGCACCATGATTCATGTTTGCAGAAGAAACTTTTCCTTGACGTTATCCAAGCAGTCGTTCGCTGAAAACAGTGGCATCACAATTTGTCTCTGCCATCACAGGATCGCTTCACACAGTTCCTTATGGAATAAGATGGCTGTGTAGCACTATTGTGTACCTTGTTAAAGTAAGTAAGGATTTCCGTGTCAGATTGCTTTTCTTTTGGATTACCTTTGATAAGGTCAACACCAGGGTAATCACAACAGCCAGTCAGAGCAATAGAAAATAACACAAGGAGTCAGTAAGAATGCAAAGTGAAAACAGGCAAACTACTGGAGGTGTAGGAAATCACAAGCGAACAAACTGCAGCTTTTTTTAGTTAAGAGTGTGAGTGGATCAGAGGGTGGAAAAAAGGTTTCCTAAGTTTCCTGCACCAGGTTGGAAAAGCCAAACCAAAGCAACCTTGAACTACTTTCGACAATTGGAAATAGTTCCTAGGTGACCTAAGTTTTCAAGGCCAATTTCAGAGCAAAGTAAGGCAAATTAAAACCAAGATCGATATCGGATAACTCAATTGGTCTTTGAGCGCTTTTTGATCGTGTCGTAAAACCCAAACCAGAGCACTCACAAAGAGCCAATCATAGCAAGGAAACTATGACCAGGAGCCAATGAGAACTTGAAGTAAAAACGAAACAGCCTAAAACGCGGGAAAACGCGACCGACAAAGTCGCGATAGGTTTTAATTTTTGAATCTGATTGGTTGAGAGAGTGGCACGAGTTTCTGGACCCATTACATGACGAAGAAAAGCCAGTCCAAAGCAATCCATTACTAGTGATAATTGCTCTAAAATGGGCTCTGCATTTGGGTCAAATGTATGCAATTATTGTTTCTTTCTTTGTTTTTTCTTTTTGCTTCCTTGTAGGAGAAGTATCCAAATGTATCAGACACTAATATTGCCTCTCTTATTGGCGGATTTTTCCTGTTGAGGTTCTTGAATCCAGCAATAGTAACACCAAATGGTATTTGTATAAGAAATCCTGATTTACTCTGCATGTATTTCTCGAGGACAGTGGATGAAAACGAAACTTTAGAGGATAAAAACAACAGCAGCATATACACAACAGAACTCGTACTTTTTTGCGTTACTCCTTGCGCGCGTGACTCGCACTTCGCGCTAGCTTGCCTCCGTTCGATTGGAAAACGCCAAAAAAATGCGTCTGTTATGTAGGCTAGTAATAATGAGATTGATTGGAAGGACTTTTAAAAAGTTGTTACGGAAATAAATTCATTTTACTCAATGTCTTCCAACATTACTTGTTAACTTAACCTTTTCTTCAATCTTGCTTCTTTCTTACATATTTTCATTGTCTGATGATCATGTATCTCCTGACATATTTATAATATGTGTTTTCAGCTTACATGCTTGTCAATAAACCTGCAAGTCAGTGTGCACGAAGAAATCTAACCTTGGTACGTAATCTTAGAGTCTGTTTCATCTCTAAGGGAAGAATCTTAATTAACAGTAGTGTTATAAAACATGATAAAAGATTTACTTGTCAGAGTTACTGCATCTAGGCAGTTAGGAAAGCCGCAAAACTCTAGAACAAAAGTATATCTCTTAATTCCTACGGTACCAACGAACGCTTTCCGCCATGTTCTCAACAATTGCCTGACTCCATCTTTCTGTATTTAAACCACACACCACCCAGAATTCCTCTATTTGGTCTGACGCAGAGCTAACGCTTGAAACATCAGCATCAGAAACTGTTACTGTTATTACTTGGTTTCCCAGCAATCAAGCCAAAATTGACCAAAGCTGACTTTCTACATTGATCTGCAGATTGCAAAACTATTACAAAGCATGGCTAACCCTCATGCCGTGAAGAATCATTTCAAAGAGGAATATATGCAACCTTTACAGTCATTTGCTACGGAACATGTTGACGATGTACAGGTATGGTCCCCCTGCTTGAAGTTAGAGGGAAACATTACTACGCTTAATGTCTCTAAATTCTTTAGCATTTGGGAGACTAAGATTGTTTCTTTTTTTTTTATCTCAATTAAAACCATATCGTCTTCTCTTTTTGGGCACATTTTCCTATCTTTAATAAATGAGTTTTGAAAACATTGGAGTTTGGTAAGGAAAGGAAGGCAAGAATTTGTCCTTTGATGTATGTGGTCAAAGTACTCTTTGGAACGAGTCAAGGCAGATTGATTTTTTTTATTATTATTGTTATTTATTGGTGGTTTTTTTCTTCGTCTTTCATTTATTTGTCTAGTAGTTTGTTTTTTTCTCCTTCGTTTCCGGAAACAGTTAGTTATGACTCAGTTATGTTAGTTAGTTAATTGCAATTGTTACTCTCAGTTCTCTGAAGGTATTTCAAAACTGCTGTATATGAAATGACAATGAAAACTGTCACTTTAATTTCAGGATTTTTTGATGAAATTATTTAAATTCAATGAGATAACTGATTTCTATGAAACCTTAGAGGTAAGGACTGCATATTTGTATTGCATAATACATTTATTGTATCCTCATATGTTATGAAATGACAAGAACGGTTAAAACTTGCATCCACCTAATGTGGCACTCTTGGCGTTATGTCGTGCTACAAACTTTCATCATTTTGTCCAACATGCTAACAACCTTGGATTATCACAAACACATAATGTAAAAAACGACCAACTATGCACTCCATAGCTCACGGAGCGGAAACGTCAACATTGAAACTCTTTACGGTGGCCAATTTACGTTAGAAACTCGGTTGATGATACCAAACAGCCGGCTATGTATACTTTGCACTATAGTTATCAGTTATTAAAACCGAATATCATGCAAAATTCGATTGTCACATCTGAATTTGATTTCAGTCTTTTTTCTCCTTTTTCAGATTGAGCAATATTTATCGCTGTCAAAGGACATTAAAATTAGAATCACCCCAAACGAAATGTATAGAATTCATGAACTAATTCTCAAGCATAAAGAGGAGCTGGTGAGTTTGCTTTATCATTACGTGATACTTCATGACAGTGGTAAGCATGGAGTTATTGTTATTTTTTCTATCTCCCCTTCGTGTTATTTTGACATTTAGCATCGTGAAAAATTCAAGGACAAACGTTCTCTTTAGACCTTCATAAAATTTCAAACAAGAAAACTGTAACTACATAGATAAATAGATAAGAACGAACAGACGACTGATAGTCCTTTCTCCTTTATTAGATGCATAATAATTATTACGGAAACAATTCGTAATTAGTACTCGGCCAAAGTTGAAAATCTGTAGAGAGACGGGAAAAAGTTAAAGTTTGATAAGGATGGCTTAAGATTGTAAATGAGTTCCAAAAAAGAAAGACAATTTTCAATTAAGTGTCAAAAAACAAAACCAGATTAATCGCAACTACAAATCAGAGCGAAGATGAACATCACCATCAGCCAATAAAAACTCAAAGTGAAAACAGGCAACCTGCTTGAAGCGCGGGAAAACGCTAGTGACCAAGTTAGGATTGTTTTAGTTTTGCATTTGATTGGTTGAATGAATCAAACTGACCAATCACAGGGCGAAGTAAAGCAAAACTAAAGCAAGGATCGAGGATCGTCGAGGATCAGCTTCGATAGTCAATCGAAAACTTCGCTGTAGTTTGGTAAGATAGAAAACACCAAAGAAACCATCATAAACAAAAAGGAACAAGAATGGCCAAAGATGAAAAAATTGACTGGGTGGGAAAATGACCAATAGGGAAAATTTTAGTTCCAATGCCCAAGATTCATCAGCTGTAGGGGAGCACTTAACATTATCTCACACAGACCCCTAACAGACAATTTTTTCTCTGTCCAGGCCCTAACTGAAGATGATCCACTGCACATAATTTTAGATGAGTTAGGACCCCCTGGAAAACAGTTGAGTTACAGTATGAATGCTACAATTTGCCTGACTCTCACTAACAGGTGGGATCACAGCAAAGGTATGTTGCACTGTGGGTTGGGTGGGTCGGGGGCTTATTTCCACGTATTGCAGCAGTTCGCGCTTTAGTAATTTTTTCGTTACCAAAATATCATTTATTGTCAAATTGACCCATTGAATACCCAGTTTGTTTAAGTTTATTGGCTTATTGTCGGAGATATTTCCGTAGTCAAAAACATTTTGCTTCCTAAAGTGGCTCTCCCCACCCACGAGTATCAATGGGCACCGGCGAATTGTTGGGGAGCCCTGATGAAATGTTGGCTGGTAACGTTGCCGTGGACTAGCATCCAGCATTCCGTCCAGGGGGGAGTATTGATACTCCTAATTGCTTCGTGCTAGGAATCTGGGATAAGCTCCGGCTGGGTGGGCAGGCCATTTGGCTCTGGTACAGACTTTACCTCTTTACTTTTGCTAACCAGAGATATGGCAGGTGGTGATAACATTTAGATGCCTTTATCCCAACTGCAATTTTGATGAAAAAAACTCAGCTTTTTGAACGTTGTAGGCCTTGATCTTATTTCCTTAAGTTTTTATCTTTCTTTTTTTGCGCTCTCTTGTTTTTGCTGCCCTTCGCTTAAGATAATAGTTGAACATGTTAATTCAACAATTTTGTTCGGTTGTTTATTTTTTTTGGTTTTTTTGGTTTTTTCCTTTTTTTTTTTTCAGTTCTTAGAAGTGAATCTTTCGAAATGTTGGTTCCAATTAAACCTCCAATCGAAGAGAGATCCACGAAAGAAGAGTTAAAAACACTCAGTGTGAAACTTTTTTCTCTGGTAAGTGGGCTTCAGTTTTAAAAAAATGTGAGCTTTCCACAGGCATCCCACTTTTGTTCCGTTTGTGGTGGGCTTGCTATTTAGGCCGGATCTAATCTTTTATTTTCACTGTTGCAGGATGTGAAATTTATGGAAGAAAGATCCCTGGTCAGTGCCCTCAAGCTAGCTAAGTCTAGTGTTGCTCCCTCTGAAGGAGAAACCAGTGAATCGCGATTCAGGAGAGAACAGGCAGCCAAACTCGCTGATTGCATATTGCAGACATACAAACAGTATCGGGAAGAAAGCGACAAGCTCATTAAAGATCCAGATTTCCTACAGGAAGTGAAGCAGGTTTGTTTCAAATTATTAAATGGGTTGTTTGTTGGATATAGGGCTGGGCGAGTAGCAATAATTGAGGTGATGGCTTGTGTAGCCAGGTCTCGTTTAAATTGTGTTCTTGGTTTAAAACATATCAAACTGAACCAGTTTGAGATTTTTAGTTTCCTAAGTCTCCAATTGGTTATTATAATATGAAGCAATGGGAAATGACTTGGAGGATTTTAATCCACGAAAGAGATGAGCCAGAACAGCTACAATGGATAAGTAACGCTTTAGAACAATTTTCAATCGAGTGTCCAAAGTAATCCTGGATTGCGTAGGCTGTGGCGTTTTCTCCTGCTTCAAGTAGTTTACTTGCTTGCACTTTGCGTTCTCGTTGGCTAATGATAGTGAAAACCTTTGTTCTGATTGGTCCAGATATTTCGCGCCATCGTTTTAACCTATCAGATGCAATAATAAAAACTGTGGTGTTTCCTCGAGCTTCAAGCAGTTTGCTTGCTTGCACTTTGCGTTCTCAGTGGCTAATGATAATGAAAAGCTTTGTTCTGATTGGTTCAGATATTTCGCGCCATCTTTTTAACCACTCAGATGCAAAAATAAAAACTGTGGCGTTTCGCTTGCTAGCACTTTGAGTTCTCATTGGCCAATGATAATGAAAACCTTTGCTCTGTTTGGTCCACATATTTTTCGCCATCGTTTAAACCAATCAGATGCAAAAATAAAAACGGTGGTGTTTTGCGTGCTTGCACTTTGAGTTCTCATTGGCAAATGATAATGTGAATCTTTGTTCTGATTGGTCACTGAGATTTCTTTAGTTTTGGTTTTCCGAAACTCGATGAAAACTGGTCCATTAGGCTCAAGTGTTTTTGCGGAACAAGTGACTTGTTACAGTTACTTATTAAAAGCGATTCCAATAAGACGAAAAAACTGCAGTGTGCTAAACGAATGGTCAACTCGAATTCTTTTTCTGTTGCAGGAGGTCCAGCACAAGGTGTTGAGGTATTTTAGACTGAAGCCCAAAGTCAACAGTCTAAGAGAAGTATACGGGGTAAGTTCTCTTACGTGGTGTGATTAACCCTTTAACTCACATAACTGTGACCAACACAGAATTTTTCCTTACAATATCAATACATAATCAACTAGACAAGTGAGGAGAACGAATAAAAATTATTAATAACAGGATTATTAATTGATCCAATACCAAATTCTCCGAGCTAACATCTTGAGAATTGTATGGAAGAATATAGGGAGAGTTATTATTGAGGTCTTGGAAGTGAAAAGGATAAACTCACAAGACACGTAAAAGCAGGAGAACGTATAAGAAAGATGCTCTTGCATTTGCTCTACAATATTAAGTAGCATGTCTTCCGCGAGCCGCAAAACCGTGATCGTGTAACCTTTGCTGGGTTATTTCTGTTTGGGTGTGGAATTTTTTTTTTTAGTTTTAATTGCTCAACCCTTTTTGAAAAAAAGGTGATACTAACTTCACCAAAATGATTCACTTTTCAGACTCTCCTCCAGCAAGAGTCTTATCTGAAGGATCAATTGAGTGTTTACAAAGGTTTGTTTTCTTTCAAATATGAAATATGAAATTTTCTGTTTAAAATTAATCTCTCTTTCTCTTTTTGTTTTTGGGTTGTAGAATATTTGGCTGCAGTAAGAGCCAAGGCAGTCACGGGTTCATCAAAGGTAACTGCGGTCATTTTATATCCTCCGTCTCTCCTTCGTAAACAAATCAAAGTTTCATAAATTGTTAGAAACTTGTAGCTCGAAAAACGACAAATCTATTGTATTGCTTCCGAGTGCATCGTACGGTCACTTGTTATGACTACCTGAACAAAGTTTGTTTATAATACCCCTCCTCAAAACCAACATTAACCCTACCTTGTTATCAGTCGACTGTTGTTGGGTAAGGGAAGAGCAAGTGCGCTGTTGCTTAGCTGCTGACATTGATCCAATTTTTAGCCACGTGGCGCGGCATCATAAACCAGTAGCATGTGAAAGCGCTTATGGACTGTGATTGCAATTGAAGTACAATGTCGCGCACCATTGCGGCTTTCAAAGAAATGCTACTGTGGAGTTACTCTGACAGTAGATAGTTTAGTTATTTAGGCATAACTTCTTTGTCCTGCAATGGTTTTGGCAAGAAGAAGAAGACATCTTGGTAGATAAATTGAAGCTGCGTTTTTGCTGTGTGTCTTGTGTATTCTAGAGAGAGGTGAATTATGGGTATGCCTCGGAAAGTGGTAACGCTCCTATTAGCTTCAGTTACAGTCAGCTAGAAAAGGAAGGAGTGGCTGTAGAAGGTCAAAAATTTCCCGATAAGAGGTACGGTTCATTGACGTTGATATAATTTAATGATGCACGGCCGTCATACGTTAGGCATGCGCAAATGGATCAATTTTGGCCGGTTGCGTACCAATTTCTCGCGGAAGGTATGACAAGAAATACAAAGGAACAACCGGTATCGCGCAAGATTCTTGCTAAAATGAAACCTTCCCGGAAATCTGTGAAAGGGAAAGAAATAGTAGACTTTTTGAGCACCTAACTAATTGGATTGTAGGTATTCTGTATATCTCAGATAAACAGAATACCTACCATCAAATAAGTTCTTATTTTAGCTCTGCCAAAAGAAAACTACACGATTTTAAAAAACGGTGATCTTCAAGGTTTGTGTTGACTTTAAGTCCTGTGCGACAATTTGGCTGAAAGCTGACAAAGTCAGGCTTCGTAAACATTCGAAAACATGTGCGACGTTTGACTCGCTGTGTTTTGTGAAGCAGGTGGCTAAGAGATCAGTTTTGAAAATTTTAAATTGGGTGTTTGTCGTGATAGGACACTAAATGTTTAGGCTAAGCCAACGCAGAATTACATTTAGTCACGAGAAGTACATGTACCTTCCCGATCCTGGGAGTGAAAGGGTGTAATCATCGAATGGGTATTATTTATGTATTCATCATCTTGTTTGCTTTTTGCCTCTATTTATTGATTTAATAATCATTACAAATTCTTTTCCTTTGAACAGAAAATCGGAATTAGTAGTTCGTATCACTTCGTCGCAGCCTGGTGTCTACCAAGTGTGCCTTCACAATACAGGTGATGCAAAATATCACTCTAGTGATTGCCCTTTTTCTAGGCCTCTCCATAGCGTATTTCGTATTTCAAAGTTGTCACGATGGCCTGTCGAAGTCACGGACAATGTCACAGAGAGTCAGTGAGAACTCTAAGTAATCCAACTAACTGGCTAAAGCGCGGGAAAACGCGGGTGAATTACCAAGTTGCGATTGGTCTTAGTTCTGCATCTGATTGGTCGAGAAGTTGACACGGCGCGAGTTTTTTTTAACCAATCAAAGAGCGAAGTAAACCAAAACTAATTGAATACCGGATCTTCTTACGGTACTCAGTGATTTGAATAGCACTTTACCTGTACCAGTCAGCTGTACTTTGACTGTAGTATTTCACGTCATTTTTGACTGTTTTGTTTTCTTTTTGTAGGTGACTCGAGTGCGAGTTGCGAGGTTCACTTAAATTTAGAAGAGTTGTTAGAACTGCAACACCGACGCGAACAGGTAGGTCCTTTGTGCTGTTTATAAGTAGCTTAACATTAAAATCATAAGACGATTGAAACTCCTCGGCTACATCAGCAGTATCAGCCCTTCTAGTCTCCGCTCCTTTTCAAGGATTTTCCACTCCTTTTTTAACGTCCTTCGACATCCCACGCTTGCATGACGGTCGGTTTCCCACGCTTTGCGTTCTTTTTTCCGCGCTTTGCGTTCTTTTTCCCGCTCTTTTTTCCGCTTCCATCTGCCGGGTGACATTTTCCGTTCGGCTTACTGAAATATGACAATTAGCTTCAGAGGAGGAATTTTTTGATCTCTGTTAAATAGGAATATTCACACTAATTTGCTGATCAAGAAAATCCGATTAAAAGAAAGGAAAAGAAAACCTTTCCAGTGATATAATGCGTTAGGTAAACAGTTTCAGCAAGATGACTGAAAAGTCATACAGGCTTCCTCTTCTTTTGAAGAGAAAGTGACGGTAATTTCGGGTCTCTTGCGGGTGTTTGCCGGATTTTTCAATCGTTTGGGCTACAAGTCCCTCTAGTAATGAATGGCTCCACTTTAAAATGCCTCTTCACCGTTTTACTTTCACAATAAGCCAAATGATAGTCAAGAAATTCGCCATCATGTGAATTCGTAATGGCGTCCTTATCTAACCAGGTTTGAGGACATAATACGCTTCTGAATTCTCCTTTAACAAGTTTATAGTCACTTGGAGAAATGCGTAAATCTAAAATTGTATTAAGGAAAATGCGACCAGCCAGCTATAAATTATTTTTGCAAAGCTCAGGCGTCAAAATTTATGTACTTCTTTCACTGTATTTCCTTGTTTTATTTTCGTTTGATTTTTTCGGAGTTGCTTCCGTTTGCAAGCTGTCCGTCGTTGTGCATTGTTTATTAATAGATGGTTACGTGAAATAATAGAAGCCACACAAAACAGTGTTTCAAAGTCTTTTTGAAGCCGCTTGTAAATAAACCCAGACACCAAGAGGTCAGTCCCATTGTGTGGTTCAGACAATACCCGTTTTTCTTTGGGACCTTAAAAGGTTTCGAGGCGTTCCTTTGAATACTCTCGTCAGGGGATGTCCGTAAACAGAAACCGCTGCTTTATTCAAATGGAAATATGGCTGATATAGACTGGGTTAAAATTGCGTGACTGGGTGCGTACACAAAGCAACACAATTTCCGCCTCGTACGTGTGGCGAAGGACTCTAAGCCCACTTTATTGCAGTCGCGTGCTTCAGGATATCCGCTCTTGTGATAATTCAGGAAGCAAGAAGATTAACTACCTTCAATCTGATATTTTTGCTAATGTGTGTCTCTCAAACCATCAGTGGATTAGTCTGTGTCATTTAGCAGACGAGGAAATATTTAACTTACGTCCGTTTGGCGAGTAACAAAAACAACGGATCACCATAAATATCGACTGGAATTTTTGCCACTTAACTAGGTTCGCTTTTTTCTAAGTTGTTCTAGGTTAACAGAAGAAAAAAAAATCAAGAAAAACAACCAATCCAATTTCTGTTGCTCGTACTGAAAATTACTTTGGAGTTTTGCACACGCAAAATTTTTGTGCTGTCATAAATTGGTGCTTCCCACCCACGTTGCAATGATTTTAAACGCGTTAATATTGACTTCTTAATGGATCTCAAACTGTGTGAGAGATACTATTTAAGGGATTTTTACCGTGTTTTTATTCTCGCTACTTTGCATCTGCTGATGACACCCTTTGTGTCTTGGGCCGTGTTTTTAATATTGCACTATACGCCCTTGGGGAAGACAGGATATTTGAACCTAGATGGACAGAGGGCAACAACTGACGCAAATGCCGGGGAGATTTTAGCCACGTCATGCTAACAAGCTTTGCTCTGAGTCGCTTTGTAGGCGAAAATAATTACCTTCGGATCCAACTAGAAATCTCTGGCATCTATTGTATCTAAAGATGCACGAAAGCATCAGAGGATGAATAATTTTGATAGACTTGGAAGATTGATGATGAACTTGAAAAATAGGCGTAGTCTCACAGTCGTTTCTTAGGAAGTGTTTTTTTGGCTCCCTGAAGAGCAAAACTAGGCAAGCAATTTATAAAACTTACATGAGTCAGACCCATTCGTAACAGCACAGTACCAGCCTGTGTTTATTCTCTGGTGTGGCAACAACTGGAAAGTCAAATTGTTGACGTCAGTGTTTGTAAAAGTAGACACGAGTTATTTTTGAGATTTTTCACCATGTAGAGTGCACTTGGAATGTTTAAAGATGTCTATCAGTGTCATTTTCGCGAAGAGAAGAAGTTGCATGCAAGGTTTGTAGGTTAGGGCTCGTTTGTTTTAAAACTGAATTCGTGAAATGTTTTTGGTAAATACCCAAGGTACATCTGCTCATGTGCGTTACTTATGATGGCCTGATCTGTGCCTAGTGTAGAGTACAATTACCTTCAGCACATCTCACAGAAGACGTGAAGGAAGTTGGTGCGGCAACATGTCTCTGTTTTTATTTTTTTCTGTAGGTGGTCGTCTTTTGCGTCAAATTTGCTAGACTGGTGGCTAAGAATAGAATGCAGCCTAAATAAATCAAAGAAATTGCTGTTTCGTATTTACACAGTATCGCTTATCATGCAGACGTATTGATACCAAACAATGAAAGAAAAATTGTTATTATGAGTGGCAAAGCTGAGAAATGGTGAACTTATACAAAAAATGTTTTAGATTACGAAGATTTAAACGGTTTTGCATAGAAACTTGTTAATAGCACCAAGTACACCATTTTTGAAGGTTGCTTCGTACGTGGATCGTATCAATATCAGTGGTACTAGCCATTTACGAATTTTTATTCTTCGTGAGTTATCACAACCTTTCAACTCGCATGGTGTGAGTAGTAATTCTCCCCTCCGGCTCGTGTACATTTCCCTGTAAACAAGTTATGGGAATTTGGTGCAAAATCAAAACAACTCTCTTAAGCTGATTCCTTTTTGTATTTTCATGGCCTGTTTGCTGAACAGTCAAAGGATACTCTAAGGAGAAATTGCTCGTGAATCACTTTTGGGAATTGAAGGGTGAAAAATTCGTGACCGTGGGGTATAATGCTATGGTTCCTCTTCAAGTATGAGGGGCTCATTTGCAGAATCATGGAAAGTAAATGGAGAAAGACAGACAAAAGTGTACTGATATTTCATCTCTATATTTGTTTGTTTATTGTTTTATACGGCAGAATTCCATATCTCTGTTAATGACAAATTTCACGAAGAATCTCAGAAGGATATTTTTCTGAAATCAGTTTTGACCAAATTTTTTTTTTTTTTTTTTTGCTACATATGAATGTTCCAAAGAAGGTTGATTTTATCGACTACTCGTCGACTCATTTTCTTAAATTGTTTTGATAGCCAGTTGTTGTTTCATTTTACTATTATGGTGAGTACTCCCCTAGTATCTCTGCTGAATCAAATAACGGGTTCTCTTTGTCAGCAGTAATGGAAATTTCTAGAGAACGGTGTCGAGATGATATATACTGATAATAGAAGGTGACTGGTCATGGATGGAAAAGATTACCACGGATTGAAGGTTCGGGTGATGTACCTAAAAAATAAAAAATAAAAAAAGGAAAAAGAGAAAAAGAACTTAGATTGAAATTTTTATTATGCAATACGAAAATTGAAATTCCTCTCTTCAATGTTATGTTCAATGCTTGATTTATCAGAAATTAGCGTCGATTTTTTGAAGAATGACTGATATAATCCATTGTAGAGTCGTAACATTATACTCTAGACAGTTTATCTTAATGACATTGGGTTATTGAGGTCGCCTGCTCTAAGTGTTGTAGTGGGCTTTCGAGAGGTTTTTGACCCAAACAACCTCGGCTCCGATTTTCAAAGTTATGAAGATATTGAAACCGAAGATTCATTTTAGATTTTATGATGGTTGGTTTTGCCTCAGTGGCTTAAAGAACAAGCCGATATTTTACAATGCACAAAATTGATTTTATGTGCATGTCAATTGCGTGGTATGTAGTGGGTTTCATTAAGAAGATTGTGAAATGAGAAATCTTGTGGAAACAATACAGTATCGTGAAATGCATGCTTTGGTTGTCAGTTTTTTGTTTGAAAAATTTCCTCTTTTTAGCTGTTTTTGAAAATTTTCAAAGTTTTACATAAGTGATCGAAATTTTTTTTTAATGTTTTCAATTTTTTTTCTTAAAAAAAAAAATGGTTGTTTGTAATTACTTTCACTCGAGGTTTTTATGTAATCTATTTTTGTTATCTCTCTGCCACTTCAGAAATGCCTCACTTTAAAAGCACTTAAGTAGAGATCTTGTGCAAACGTGAACAAATACAGATGTAACTTACTATGATGGCTTTTTACCTAGGGTGAATCGTTAATGTCTTAAAAGCTTTTTGCAAAATTTTGGTCTCTTTCATGTTTCCGTCCTTGGATTGTTGGGCAGAATCAAAATTACTTCTTCGCGGAAACTTCTTGTCAATTTGAAAGATACCGGCTTTAAAAAGCATAATTCGAATTGCATTTTGTTTTATAGGAAAATTTGTATTTGGAGTCGTTGCCAATTGTCGACACTTCGTAAGTGGCAAAGCTTGAAAAATCACGCTGGCCGGAATTTTTTACACTTCTTCGAAGTATTTTTGCCAGTTCATTAGCAAATACGCAATAACAATTTCAGGTAGCTTTTTTTTGTGCCATTTATCAGAACCTTTGTGCAGTTGTCTCTCAAACGGGCCGAACATTATTCGTAACAAAGGGAACCTTATATTGGCAACGTTCAATTAGCTGGCACCTCTTTGTTTCCCTGAGGCATGTTTGTAGTAGTCTTTCTGTTCTTTCTATTCAACTCGTTGTAAAGCAGGTTAAAGTATTATTGTCTGCCAGTAAACACTCCACACAATGCTGCACATCAAAGCACGTCATTTGCTATCAAACAACATAATAAGTATTTTGTGTTGCTCGACAAAATAGCTTTTTCGATTATTTGAAATGCGGTTGCTTTTGTTGGTAGGCAGGATAAATTGTCTTCTCCGCTGTTCGGGCGTTTTAGTCGCGCTTCGCTTGGGCGTAATGCTTTTTCTGGTCATCTCCAGTCGTGGATATTCTTTGTGGGGTTAAAGCTGGAGGTATCTCCGTTAGGGTAAGGCGAGTTTATGTTAATGTTTACGGCCGATAGTGTAGCGACTGTGGTTTGAATTTGAAAACGAAGCTCTCATGCTTTCAAGTTTGTTGAAGAATGCTCTTTCTAAGAGGCGTACCCTTGAGATGTGAGCTTAGCTGAGCAATATCGCGGAAAATGCAATGACAATATTGGTTTTTTAGTTCCTTCATACAGAAATGGTTGAATTTTTGTCGTTTCTAGCGAACACATTGCGCTATTGGAACTTCAGAATGAATTTGGCGTGGCGTTAGCCACTTCGAATCTAGTGCGCGTTTGCCGATGAAAATAGTTTTCGAAAGGCAACCCATATAAGATTTTCACGTCAGATTTTCACACGCGTTCTTGCGTAAGCCTTAGTGATGGTAAAAATTTTAAGGATGCAGGCAAAACTTAAAATAGCAAACAATTAAACCACAAAAATAGAGTGAGATCTCTCCCATACCCCCCACAGAATGTCGCGTGTTTCAAATGAATAGATGGTTCAATCCTTCATTAGCTCCCTTTAGAAAAGCTGGGCACCCTGCCTTCCTATAGTAGTGTTCCTTGGAATGAGCGCGCACGCAAATTTTAGTCGTAGAATTACCTGCTGGGGGCGTTTGGTGGGCCGCTTGTCGAACTTGGGGCCTCTTTCAAATAGGGGTTCCAGTGAAACGTGTGTTTAGGGCCTTAGGATTATGACGTGTTTTCCGAAAAGGGCCGGCAAAGTGCAAAGTGTTAGCCTTTATTTGCCTGAACAATAAGATCTTTCTTGAAGTCTTACATGGTCTTGGTTTTATTTTATTCCGAGAGAAAGCGGTTGAAATCAAATGAGTCGAAAATTGAAAAGGCTGACGGAATTTCATGTTTCTAATTTGAAGCTCGAATTTCATTTACTTTGAATCAGCTTCGCCCGTTTGTTTGCACAGATGCCGAGAGAGTTTCAGATTAGATTTCGTTAAAAAGGAGCAGAATGCAATTTTTTTGGGGGGGATTTTCTCTTCATTTTTTACATCGGCCATTTTCGACAATTTCAAGTATTATTTTACCTTCCTTCTGTGGCAATGACCATCGTTTTAATTTGAAAGTACAATTTTTAATACCTTCAAGGAATAAGAGTTTTTGTTTTATAAATGAGCTTTCTCTAGTTTGCATTAACTGACGTTGAAATTTCACCTTGAACTTTACCTAAGCACGAGAAACAGATCAAAGCGTTGAAAATGTTCAATATTAATCCGCTTAAGCGGTAATTTTCTCCCATCTTACTTCAGGTTATTGATTAGGGCTAAATGAAGGCGAAATTAAACCCCTACATGTCGCTCCGAAGCGAGTGAAGTGTGGAGAAAGAAGAAAATAATGAAATTCAATGTTTTCGAGAGCTCTGATATTTTCGAACGGATGAGCGTCGGAGATCTTGCCGTCCTCTTGTTTCGTTCGCACTTTCAATTTAGATAGTTATGCCAGAAATTGCTTGTCTTTTTTATAGTTAGCCAGAAATTCAAGCTTTCATTTCTACAGTGATTGTTATCATTTTTCCAAGTTTGCTAGAGATGTATAATTCTTCGCTCTCGTAAATTTCGAATATTTGGATTTGTTCACGCTGTTAATAATTCATAGCCAGGATTAATTTGATTTCTTCAAATTTGAGAGTCAAATAAGTTTGGACACTTGATTCCTTCTCTCGGTTCTTCCTTTCCTGAATATTCAGTTTAATCAATAACCGTCGACCAAGGTAATTAACCCGCTAATAAAGTGAACAGTCATCTCTCATGTTGAACAGAGAGCGCAGCAAACTTAAACATATCACAAAACTACGCCGCCCTAATCCAATGCTGTCTGTTGAGCCGGTTTAATAATTTCGGAGAGTGGTGTACAAATGTGAAATATTGGCTTAAAATTGCAATTAACACCGCTAATATCTTTTCAGTGAAAAGTCGGTTCAGAAGTATACTAAGTTAGTTTGGTTTTCTGCGAAATTAATTGGTAGCGGTGTTATTTCTGTTGTAAATTTCCGATGGCAGTTTGCATGTCGTGAAAAGGTTCTTCCGACAGCCTGTGAATCCTGGCACTTAAGCCGCCTGCCTCCCCCAAATCATTTTTGTTTTTCTTTTTTCCTCATTAAAATTACATGTGAAGTCCACCTCCCAGAAAAAAAAAGTTATTTCCATGCTTTTTAATAACTTTTTATGTCTCGACTCTGCAATGGAGACGAACAAATGATGTTATTTTTTTTCGCAAAAATGTTATTTTACTCTATCATGTTCTCAGCGAATTGAGATTTTTCCTTTCTATGTCTTTCAAATGTCAAACGCACTCTAATATGGTGAAAGCTTCTCGTGTTGTTATTTAAACCTCTTTGAGTATTGAGAGTACTCTTCTACAGGTTTTTAATTTAATGCTCGCCCAAAACCGAGTATGCTGTTTACAAACTATGTTAACCCTTTAGAGCAGCGCATAAGTGGTGTAATAGAACACGTAGCAAGACCTCTAAGATGCAAATTTCATGCAGTGCACGTGTGGCTCAAATTGAAAACGGGTTTTCTATTGTGCCGTTGT